TACCGCAACTCGGTATTCACCGACCGCATAATTTTGAGCATCGGTCGGTTGCCGATCGGCTGTAACCGCCTGACGATTTGCCACCGCAACCGACCGAACACGCTCTGTCGGTTGCGGTCGGTGGTCATTGACGGGTCGGTAATCACCGCAACTCGGTATTCACCGATGGTCAGGAACCACCGCAAAACCGTCGGTGACTACCCACCAATTTTCGGTGGTCACCGACCCAACACTAGTATCGACTGATTGATTAATTAAGTTCTACCCTATTGTTGACAGTTTGTTAATTTCAATATGTGATCATAACGGATCATATACCCAGCTCACTAGATCCTTCAAAATTTCTGATTCAGATTTAAAACACGATTCATCGAATCATGTATGGGTCAGGACATAATACTAAAATTAGATCTGCCCTGATTTCTGTTTATGGACTTCCGCTGTATTCAGACACAACAAGTTAAGAAGCAGTGAATGATGATGATAATCCCCTTTAGAAGAACCAATCAAGACGACTAAAGCAACAACTGCGACAGCACAATCGCAGATAAGCACTGCCCAAAAACAGTCTGTGGCATCGAAATTTGCCCAACCTCAACTACCTAAAGCAGAAACTGCCCCGAAAACAACGCCATCAAGCGGCATTCCAAAGCCAACACAGCTCACAAGTCCAATCGAGGCAGCTGCGGCCAGCATAATGAAAGGAGTACCGCGGAAAGCGGTTGGCACCCCTTCTCCGACACCTCAAAAAACCCCCGTTTCTAGTAGTGCTGAAGTAAAGAAGGATTCTGCGCCGAGGAAGCAATCTGGTGAGGGCAAGTTTTATTCTGGTTCTTTTCGAAGCAACAGATTCAGAAAGTTGAAAATAAAAAGTTGTGAATTTATTGGGGTTCTGAAATTTTTTTTAGAGAATTTGAGCGCAGTGAGATATATCACAATTCCTATTTCAACACGCCAATATATCCAGCTATCGTTAACATCTGCATCACTACAATCATCCCAAATTCATCCAGTATATCAACGCGATCCGTGATCGGTCAATCTGTCTAAAGACATTTAGTCTAACGAGAGTTTGCCTAATGACAAATTACCTAACGGATAGTTTGCCTAACTTACGGTGTTTAATGGATAATTCGCCTAATAGGCAAACTGTTCCTCAGGCAAACTGTCCGTTAGGCAAGCTTTCCGTTAGTTAATGTGTCTTTAGACAAATTGTCATTAGGCTAAATGTCTTTGGACAGATTGACTGGCTACTACGTGATCTATCCATACACCACTTTTTTTAAGAAGAACCTATCTCAGTGATTATATGATCATTTGATCCCATGAGATTAAAATTATGATGACGATTAAGGCACACAGTCATTTAAAGGCCTCCGAATTCGAATCCCATCGCGCAATCGAGATCTCGCTTTTTCAGGTCTGGCGGCATTTGCTGAGAAGTTCGATAAGCCCGTTGGAACTGGAATTGGAGCGGCGTCAACGCAAGTGAAACAACAGCAAAGTGCTAAGCCGAGTCCTTTGAGTGCTTCCACTGCCTCGAAACAACTTCCGTCCACGTCCACAGCTCAAAGTCCGGCTACTACTCCGGTACCCAAAAAAGATGAGAACATTCCGGCACATCGACTAGATCCTGAACGACGAAAGAGTGAGATTAAGTGTGATGGCGCTGCTGCGAATCGAATCAAACGAGTATGTTGGTTGCGATGTTGATAGAACTGAAATATCACAATTACTGCATATAATACTTTGTGCTAAAATTTG